GCAATCTTCCTTTCTCTGAACAGGATCAGCGTCTTGAACACCATCAGCTTCACTTAGCTGCAGTTCTCACACCTGGATGCGAACAGATTCTCTGCTCACATGGCTCTTTTTCTTCACCATCATCAAAACATGGCTGCAGTCTCTCTTCCTGTTCACTGAGCTCCCATGTGTAAACCCCACCCCTTCATGAATATAGAAATATCTATGCAGTTTGAGGCTGTGTTAGAAAAACAGTGACATCTTGTGGCTAAACTGCAGAATGTTAGTCACAACATTTCAAAACATTTAATTTATTCCATACAGTGTTCAAACAATGATAGCTGTTTCCCCATCTCACATGCCACCCCACTAGAGGTTGTCGTCCTCAGCAACCCTTCCCATACAAACTTATTCTGGGCATAACGCTGTGGGGGCACACCAGCATTGGGCCTTGTTAACCTTCGTAGAGTGACAGGCTCAGAAGCACTGGGGACGTCAGGCATATTTAATGGGAGAGGAGCTGCTGACCACTCAACACTTTTTCCTTGGTGGCAAACTTGCTATGGTTGGAGCCTCTGTGGGTACCGGAGCAGGGACAACCCACCATTCCTCCCCTCCTCTAAGGGGATTTCCTCTGTACTCTGAGCAGGAGGAGCCATCCCCTCCACGCACACTGGTTCATCAAAATTACAATGCCTCAACATGTTGTGGTGCAAGTTTCATGAGGGCCCCCCAGTCCCCATTGGCTCTACCTCATAGACCGGGATTGCCGGGTCTACCCTCCTCTTCACCGTGTTTGGGACCGCCTCCCACCGCCCATCCAACTTTCCAGACGGCAGCTTGGCTTTGACTATCACTCGATCACCTGGGGCATACCCCTCCTTCTGCACTGGTCTTGGATTGGGGTATACCATTTGTCTAAGGCGCTCCCCCACAACCTTGTGGATCGCTCTCAGCCAGAGGCAGTGCTCTTGCCCCCATGCGGTAGTATTTCTTGGTGGTGGCTCCATCGGATCGGGCATGTGGAGATCTTCAATCTCCCATCCGGCTCTCCCAAACATGAGCATATGTGGGGAGTATCCGGTGGTACTGTGTACCCTGTTATTATAGGCCCACATGAGTTCAGGTAGGTATTCGGGCCACCAAGCTTTTTGGCGGTCCTCCAGAGTCCGCAGCATCTGGAGCAAGGTGCGGTTGAACCGCTCGCACGCTCTGTTTCCCTGGGGGTAATACGGGATGGTGCGGGAATGTTCAATCCCATACAGTTGGTACAACTCATTCATTAGAGTACCCTTGAAAACATGCCCCCTGGTCCGAATGTATTCTCTGTGGACACCCGAACACCTGTATAAAGTGTTTGCAGACCGCTTCAGCGGCCGACTCTGCCGTCTGGTCTCTGGTGGGTACAGCCACCTCATACTTTGTGAAATGATCTGTTATGACTAGACAGTACGAGTGTCCCGAGGTAGAATACCCAATCTGTACATAGTCGATCATAAGGAGCTCTAGGGATGTTGATGTCTGGATGGCCTGGACAGGAGCCCGCTCTTACTCAGCCCACAGGGCCGACACTTAAGACATGCCTCGGCCACCATGTCTGCCAAATCTGGACAGTACATGAGCCGTTGGAGCCACTTGAACGTTTTATCGCTCCCAAAATGGGCACCCCTCTCTTGGGCTTGCCGGGCAGCCTCCGGTCCCAATGACATGGGGATGACAATCTGTCGCCGGTACTGCAACTCTGTCTGCAAGTATATATGTCCGACACAGGAGGCCCTGGGTAACAGTTAGCTTATCCCACTGCCTCAACAACTTTTGGCCCTCGGGAGTCAGACGAGCCCGCTCTTCTGACCAAGGTCAGATCTTGGTCCGGACCCATTCTTTCACTTTCCACAGGTTCGGGCAGCTATCCTGGACCCTCTCCCAATCAGCCAATGTCTTTCCCAGCACCATTGGCATCCCGGACACCACCCCACTTGAATGTGCCACTTCCGGGAACATGGGTAATTGACCAAGGTCAGGAGTTTCAGTGTCCTCGGCACTCTGAGCTGACAACCCTACAGGAACTCGGGAGAGTGCGTCAGCGTTGCCGTTCTCCCTACCTGACCAGAACTTGATGCGGTATTGGTACTTAGAAAGGCGAGCCAACCACCTCTGCTCAAGCGCACAGAGTTTGGCATTTTGCAGATGTGCTAACGGGTTGTTGTCTGTCATCACGGTCACCTCTGCACTGGTCAGGTACTCCGCGAACTTTTCGGTCATGGCCCACACCAGTGCCAGTAGTTCCAATTTAAAGGAGCTATAGTTGTCAGGGTTGTGCTCTGACTCCCTCAGAGCCCAGCTGCCATAGGCAATGACTCTCTCACGTCCATCCTGGACTTAGGATAACACAGCCGCCAGACCATGTAGACTTCTGTCAGTGTACAGCAGGAATGGGGTGTCCAACCGCGCATAAGCAAGAATCGGGGCACTAATCAGCGCCCCCTTCACTGCTTCAAAGGCCCCTTGTTGCCGGGGTCCCCACTCGATGGGACGATTCTTTGGGCCCCCTGCAGTGCCCCTCAATAACTCGTTTAACGGGCCCACCAAATGAGCAAACTTGGGTATAAACCTCCTGTAGTAGCCGGCCAGTCCAATGAACGCCCGCACTTCTCGTAGTGTACTCGGCTGGGGCCACTTCTGGACAGCCTCCACCTTGTTGGGGGTTGGCTTTACCCCCTCCTGGGTGACCAAATGTCCCAAATACTCTCTCTGCTGTTGAAACAGTTGGCACTTCTTGGGCTTGATTTTGAGCCCATGGTCTCGCAGCTGTCCTAAGACCTGTCGAAGTTTCTGGAGGTGATCCTCAAAAGAGGCCCCAAACACTACTACGTCGTCCAGGTATATCAATACCGACTCGAATTTGAGATCTCCCAGACAGTGCTCCATCAACCGCTGGAATGTTCCCGGGGCATTGGACAGGCCGAATGGCGTCCTGTTGAACTCGTAGAGACCCATAGGTAGGATGAAGGCCGTCTTCGCTTTGTCCTTCTTGGCCACCAGTACCTGCCAATACCCACTGGCCAGGTCAAGAGTCGAGAAGAACTTCGCATGACTCAGGGCAGACAACGGCTCCTCAATCCGCAGAAGGGGGTAGGCATTCCGGATGGTCTGGGCATTCAGTTTCGATAATCCACGCAGACACGGAGACTCCCATCTTTCTTCCGCACCAAGACTACTGAAGTAGCCCAAGGACTTTGACTCTCCTGGATCACCTGGTTTTCCAACATGCTGGCCACCATATCCTTCACCTCCTGGTACATTTTAGGTGGGATTTGCCAGTAACGTTCCCTGATCGGTGCTGCATTGCCGGAGTGGATTTCGTGTTCGATGGTGGAGGCACACCTGAAGTCCTCATCATGTCTCGAGAAAGCCTCCTGAAATTCCCAAAGGGTGTCTTCCAGCAACTTCTGTTGTCCTGGAGTCAGGATCTTGCAGTTCACCCCCATCCGGGCCATGATCACTCGACTGCTCCACTCCGTTGATGTGGGGTATACCTTTGATGGACCTCTACAGCATATGTCCAGGCTGATCTCCTATCTGGCCGTAGCATGAAGCTCCTCCGTAGAGGAATGTCCCCTTCGGACACATAAACTTCGGCTAGCAAGGTATTCCTAGGGACGGTTAACTCACAGTCTTCAATGTTGAGGCAGCGCACGGCCACACATTCATCCTTCACAATAGCGAGGGCCTGGGCTACCAGTGGATGTGTTTGCATTTCTTCTTGGTAAGTGGGCTCGATCAGGACCTCCAGTCCATTCAGTTGTCGTCCAGCCCCAACCGGCAGCATCAATATTCGCTCTTGTCGAGGCGGGATCTTCACCGGGGTCCTCCGCGGCACCCTCACGTGTCCAATGGGTCGACTGGACATGTCGCCCTTTCGCAGACTACAGCTCCTCACCATCTGCTGTAGAACCTTCTGGGTTGGCCGGTGTGTGGTGGCCCATTGTCAATACCTCGGCCCTTCTTTGGCATAGAGTTGGTGGTCTAGGTCCCTCAGCACGTTCATACCTAGTGTCACATCCATCCCTCTCCTGGACGAATGATCCACCAGCACGACCCCCTTCTTGCCGTCTTGCCCACACAGCCAGACCCGCATCCAGACTATTCCTTGGACGTCCATCTCTCTGTTATTGGCAGCTGTCAGCTTGATGACACTCCCGTCTTCCGACTCCATCATATGTCCAAAGTGTCTTTCGAAGAACTCCAGAGGCATAAGGGTGCATTCCGACCCTATATCAACTAGGCAGCATACCTTCTGGCCTTCCAACTCGGCTTCCATAACGGGGCTGTTGGCATACAGGTCGTGTTCCTCATGCTTAGGGCTTAGCTTCTGGTGTACCGCCGCAGGACGCCCAGCTACTATGGCGGTCGGAAGTTTAACGTCGGCTCAGACTTCATCTGTTCTGGGTACTCTCTGGCCATGTGGCCGTACTGTCAACAAGCCCAACAGAGGGGTCCCCTTTTGACGTGCCCCCACAGCTGAGTTATCCTGAGTGGGGTGGCGCAAGGTGCTGAGGTCATTTCCGGAGACCGGGGAGATTCTGCCTTCATCTAGCCGAAGTTCTCTTAATTCTGTCCTCAGGGCCTGGACTACATCCTTTAACCACTTGCCTACCAGGCACTTATACCCCCTTCCTTACCAGGCCAATTTTCAGCTTTCAGCGCTGCCGCACTTTGATTGACAATTGCGCGGTCATGCAACATTGTACCCATATGAAATTTTGATCATTTTTTTCCTCACAAATAGAGATTTCTTTTGGTGGTATTTAATCGCCACTGGGCGCTTTACTTTTTGCGCTATAAATTAAAAAAGTGCAAAAAATTTGAAAAAAAAAAAAAAAAGTTTCTTTGTTTCTATTATAAAATTTTTCAAACAGGTATTTTTTCTCCTTCACTCATGTGCGTTGATGAGGCAGCACTGATGGGCACTGATAGGTGGCACTGATAGGCAGCACTAAAGGGCACTGATAGGCAGTACTAATGAGGTGGCACGGATAGGCGGCACTGATAGGCAGCACTAATGAGGTGTCACGGATAGGCGGCACTAATATGCAGCACTGATAGGCGGCACTGATAGGTGACACTGATGATGGGTACTGATAGATGGCACTGACTGGCATCACTGCTGGGCACTGACTGGCGGCACTGACTGGCACAACCGCTGGGCACTGACTGGCAGCACTGCTGGGCTGCACTGGTGGGTGGCACTGGTGGGCAGCACTGGTGGGTGGGCACAGGTGGGTGGCACTGGTGGGCACAGGTGGGTGGCACTGCTGGGCACAGGTAGGTGGCACTTCTGGGCACAGGTGTGTGACACTGCAGAGTGGCACAGGTGGGTGCACTGCTGGGCACAGGTGGGCGGAGCTAGTGGGCGCACTGCTGGGCACAGGTGGGCGGAACTTGTGGGTGGCACTGCTGGGCACCGATCAACAGTGGCCCTGATGATCGGTGCCGATCCTCGCTCTGACAACTGCCGGTTCTCGGCAGTACTTTCCTCACGATCTGACAGCGTGAGGAAAGTGCAGCCGAGAACCGGCACTTGCATTTCCCTGTGATCAGCGTGTCATTGGACACCGCTGATCACGTGGTAAAAGGCCGGTATGATCGGCCTTTTACCACATCTTGTGATCAGCTGTGTCCGTAGGACACAGCGCTCACGGAGATCGCCGGGTGCGCGCCCCCTGGGGCGCGCAGGAGAGCGCGTTCTGGGGGGACGTCATATGACGTCCACCCAGAACTGACCGGCCGCAGTGAAGCCGTCATTCGGCTATCTGCGGTCGGCAACTAGTTAAGGATTCTGAGTCTTCAGATGCAGACTGACCTCTTGTAGCATGGGTACTACTCACTATTCTCGCCGCCACAGGTATGCACTCTTCCTCTCTCTCCACGGCGGCTAAGTAGATGCTATAGAATGTCATGTTGGGCCCCGTCCGAGTCATCTCTTGCAATTTGTCCTGTAAGAACTTGTTGGAGAGCCCCACTATGAACTGGTCTTGTAGTAGCCGGTCCACCTCCCGGAAAGCTCCCATGGCCTCTAGCTCTCGCCGCTGTATTTCATTTAGTGTCTCCTGTAGGGCATTGGAGTACTGCATCAGGGTCTCGCCCTCTCGCTGTGGTCGGTTGAAGAAGTGGCTCCGCAGCTGCACTACTTTAGCACGCCCCCCTTGGGCTCTCTCCAGCAGGGAGAATATTTTCTCTAGGGTGTCTCTCTCAGATTCGGGCCTTACCATTACTGTCAGTCTGACGTCACCCTCTAGAGCCCCCAATGCAACCTCTGCCCGCAGCTCGGATGTCAGGTTACACGTTCTAACCGCACTTCGCACTCTTTCAGTCCAGTCCTGCAACGTCATATTTTTACTGTCAAATTTTGGCAGGTGACTCAACAGCACCCCCACAGGAATGTACCCTACTGGTACGGGCACGGCGGGGGCAAGCTGTATCAGCGGTGTTGGGACAACTTGGTCCTGCACCGGCACACCCTGAGCTGGGTCCTGGACCAGTGCCATTGGCGCCGGGGGAAGATCTCCAGCCACATTCTCTTCCATAACGGTCGCTGTATCCTGCTGACTACACCAAGTTGTCAGCCGTGTACCGGGGTGGGCTCCCCAGGATACAGTGAAGTCATGAACAAGGAAAGCAACCCCAACACCAGCTTTTGTCACAACAGAATTTTACTTAGATGTGGCAAATAAACAAAACCACAAATGCTGGAATATACAATAAATTTACATACACCCAACCCAAAGGCTGAGACCCTTGTGCTGCACAGCACGGTGCCTTCTGATGGATGAAGGTATAAAGTGTAGTACTTTACCTACTGGCAGGCACAACTAAGCTGTCACACCTTACCTGTTATTACCCTAAAAAGAACAAAAATCAGTGTATGGGTGTATGGTATGGGCTAGCCTGCGGTGTAGCACAACAGCCCACAATCTTACACAAATCTACAGTATTCCCTCTCCCATAACTGGTCCTGTAGCACGTGCCTGAGTATTCCTTCTGAGCAAAACGCCAGTCTGCTTGAGTTTGTAGGATTTTATCAGCTCTCCAATGTGAAATGTCACTTTAAGTTGCGGAGTTCTTCTAATGATCAGTAACAACACTTGTGGCCTGACACAAACAGAGACCCTAACTAACTAAGTATAGGCCTGTCTCAGTCCTTTAGGCGCCAACACTGAAAGTGAGATGCGTGCACGATCTTACCGACCCAGGTCTGCTTTTCATACGCTGGTGACTCTGAACAGAACAAATGTCTCTCCACGAAGCATGCGATGTCACAGTATATATATTGCTTAGTTCCTCAGCTTCCCATCAGCTTCCTGGCCGCAGTCTTCCTTTCTTTGAACAGGGTTAGCGTCTTGAACACCATCAGCTTCACTCAACTGAATTTCTGATTACAGAGGGCTGTGCTCACATCTGGATGGCATCAGATTCTCAGATCACACAGCCCTCTCTCTCTCAAGCATGGCTGCTCTCCTCTCCTTTTCCTGTTCACTTCCCAAGTCTAAAACCCCACCCCTTCATGAATATAGAAATCTCTATGCAGTCTGAGGCTGTGTTAGAAAAAAACAGTGACATCTTGTGGCTAAACTGCAGAATGTCAGTCAGAACGTTTTTAATTTACTTCAATCAGTGCTCAAACAATGAAAGCTGTTTCTCCATCTCACAACTGCTCTGCAAGGAGAAGAGATTAAGCTGCGGGGGATTTCAAATCTCTAAACCAGTGAAGCAGCATACTGGTATCTGACAGCATAGGATCACAGGACTCAGTACAGCGAAACCGGGTGGGATGGGCAGGGGGTCCAGTGTTGGGTCACTTTACAGATTTTCTGTAAAGGTTAACTAACACTTTAAATAAATCACTTATTTTTTATCTCGCTCTTTGAGTATCTCTAATATGGCCTCTCCCTTTTGAAAGATCATTTTAAAAAAGTTTCCTTTTTTCCATGTCCTCCAGGCCAGTGCCTGGCCCCCATGCCCTTTATTTGTCAATTCTTTGTGAGCTTAGAAAATGGTCATCACTGAAAACAAGAGTTTATTCATTTTTAATGGGGTACAGATTCTGGACCCGAATTTTGATAACATTCACTGAACGTTGGTTGAACCAAGCCCAGGTACTTCGTCTCATCACTGGAACTGAAAGTGAGGGAAAATCCATAATTCTGAGTTCTCACCAGAACAGAAAAAAAGAGGAAAAATTCCAGTGGAGATACTTACTCCCCTGACATTTGTTTAGGAGATGGCTTACCTCACTTTGGAGATATTTCCTCTTACTTCCTGTTTATAAAAGACGAGAAGTGAAGTGAAATCTCCTCAATGGGACACAGGTGACAAAAACAATTCTATACTCAATCCATAAAAAAAAATGTTTGGCTTTGCGTATAATTTAAGAGAGAAACACGCCACTGCTTTCACAACAGTTGCGTTCACTTATTGGACAATAGATCTCTAGTGACATGTATATTAGCGTAGCCAATATGGGGTTAAGCATGTCTTCTTGATAAATGGAGTAATTTAATGGTTACCCTACAGAATAATCTCTGCATCTCGCTCAGAGGCCAGTCATTACATGGAGTGCTTCAGTGTTTGACTTTCTTGTCCACATAGATGTTCTGTTTTGTGTGTTTTAAGAGCTGTCTGGAAAGAAAAGCACCCAGCTTCCCCCCACCTGGACTCCCCTTCTCCCATTGCCCCCACTCTCTATCCTACTCTGCTGTCCCTGCTACTACCTGTTGCAGCATGAATAGGAGCCTTCACTCCACCGCGCGAGAAAACAAACCCACAGCCAGCATTAATAGGGCCAGCTGCCGCCAGCCAGCAGTTGATCTTGGAGAGAGTTGATATTTTTACACTCGGTCCGTCTGCAGAGCGGAGACTTTTTCCTTCTCTACAGCTACATTTCCAATGACTTTCCCGATAGCTGATAACCCTTTCCATGCTGTAGAGCATATTAAAGCTCTTATTTTACTTTGTTGAGTAAAAGTTCAGCTTTGAAAAAAAAAAACGTAGGTAACTACATAAGTATCTTTAGCAAACATTACTGAAGACCACTAATCTGTTGTACAGACACTGCCAGGGCAATGTGGTTGCTGAAATGCTTCAAAACTGATTTTCACGTAGGAGGTTTTGCATAAACACATATTAGAGATATTGAGCTTTGATATTGTATGATATATTAAATCTCCGGCAACTCTTTATGATAGCTTTCTAGAAGTATCAGTTGTTTAAGAACTCTTAAGATGACCATACACTGTACAATCTGATTGGACAATCTCTACTAGATCCACCATCAACCAGGCAAGAGCCTGTCTGATTGTAAAGTAGAATTTCATTTCTAACCGCTTGCCGACCCGCCACAGTACATTTACTGCAACAGGTTAGCTGGTGCAGGCACAATTATGTACCTGAATGTCGCGGATTTCTTTTGGGTTTGCTCGTGCATGTGTGCATTGACCCAGAAGACTGTACTATCATTGCTTGCAGTACAAGCTGATCAGAGGGTCCTTGCTAAGCAAGGAGTAAAAACCAGCACATTGCTTAGTAAAACACCTAAGCACACTAAACATTGTTAGGCACACATTTAGCCCTGTGATCACCCTGGATGTTAACCCCTTTCCAGCCAGTGTCATTAGTAAAGTGACAGTGTACATTATTAGCACTGATCACTGTATTAGTGTCACTAAAGATGTCAGTGGCAGTTAGTCAATACCCCTCAGTGTCAGTTAGTGTCAGATTGCCTGCCACACTATCTTGGTCCCAATATAAGTGGCTGATGGCCACAACTACTAGTATAAAAATAAATACAAATTCCAGTACATATACTAGGGGTGCTCAACCTGTAGCCCGCGAGAACCATGTGGCCATCAGAGCCCTCTGATATGGCCATCCACCTCAAACTGAATGCAGGAGTTTTGGTGAACTTTCAGAAAGTGCACCACAGTCGCAAGATATAATAGAAGTCTACGGCAAGCGCAGCTAACCTGCGTTAAAGCTGCAGGAGCACAGCCCCACGCTGGCCGTATGGGTGAACTGCTGCACATCACTGTGAAATCAGCCTTATAGAGGGGTTCAGGACAGTAAGGGCTCATTTACATTTGCAGTTTGGTGGGCAGTAAAACCCTATAGTTGAGACGTGTTTTCTCCACATCATCCCAAACACTGGTGTAGCATTGGGGGTTGCAATAGCAACCCCAACCCATGCTCCAGGGGGCCCGTGCGGCCTCCCTGTCATATTTTGTTTTACAGTTTACACTTGGACAGGAGCAATAGTGGGGGCGGCATATACAGGAACAGATCCTCTCCATTTTCTTCCTGCAATCGCTGAAAGCTGGCTTCTCTTCCTCTCCATCCCTGCAGCTGCAGGAGAAAAATGTTCATTATGCTAGTCAAAATAAAAAATGTTTAATTCTAAAATTTCATTTCATTGTGGCTCATGACCGCTTACCAGATCATGTAAGTGGCCCTCGCTCTTCAAAGGATTGAACATCCTTGATCTATACCATAGTTTGTAGATGCTATAACTTTCAGGCAAACCAATCAATATAC